TCCGAGGTCACGTGCACATCATTTAGGGAGACCATGAATGTGAATTCGGAAAATGCTGCAATATCAAAGACCGACGAAGACAGCAACCGAGATCTCTCTGTGATCCTAACTTTCATACCAACACCAAAATTTAGTCTGTCTGTCTAGGTACCTACCAACTACGAGCTGCGCTCTTTCTATCAGGTTTGCCTAAAGTATTTCCTAAACCTGACGGAGGCAAGTCGGTTAAAAAACTGCAGTGTGTCGCCGTATCTCCGTTGTATCAACCGATAGAGCTCCGCCTCTGCGGAAATGCCCTAGTGAATTTAACCACGGTTTTACTAATAGATCTCTCGTCTTTGACCCATTAAACCAACAGTGCATATTCAAAGTGTGACGTACAGTTTCAACTTTCCCATGTCTGACATGGGTTTACGTCGTCGACGCCACTCCTAACCCATCATCATCATCATCATCATCATCATCATCATCATCATCATCATCATCATCATCATCATCATCATCATCATCATCATCATCATCATCATCATCATCATCATCATCATCATCATCATCATCATCATCATCATCATCATCATCATCATCATCATCATCGCCACCACCACCATCATCATCATCTGACAATAAAACCTATCGCTGCCTTTTTCCACCTCCTCCTCCTCCTCCTCCTCCTCCTCCTCCTCTACCTCATACTCCTGTCCATATTCTTTTTCCGGTGTTTAAAAGTAATGTGTATAAGTGTGCTAAATTGAGTTTAAATTACTAAAACTGTTATAGATGTTGTTTGCCTTTAAATAGGTCGAAAAGCGAGCTCTTTAAACCAACCACAAAAAATTACGAATTCACTGAAATTTGTACCAGATTTACCGCCAACTCTCATTCGTTACACAATTTGGTATTTTTTCCAGGAGCGGTGAACGCAGACAATTGAGGACATCAATTTAATACGGCTGTATTTCATCACGACCTGAAAAAGTTGGAGGTTGTGAAATAGTTTCTCCAAAGAACCCCTCACCTGAGGAGGTCATCGAACGTGAACTTTGTCTTAACAAGAAAAACATGAGATTAAAAAAGATACAACTGATTTTTGCGTAAACTGCAAGGTTGATGTGATGAAAATTCACAGTATACAACCAGTCACTTCGGTTAACCCTTCCATAGATTCTGACATTGATCTTAGTAGTTTCAACATCATTCCTGCTTTCGAACATGTTACTATCCCTGGTAGCAGTTGGACTCTTTCGGTTACTGCACAACCACGGATGCTTCCACTGTCGCGGTTGATAAGGCCATCATGGACTAACAAACTGTATGTTTATAACCGGAGATATGAGTTCCAAAAACTGGTTGATAAGACGTAGAAGCGGTCGCTGGAGCAAGGACTTTATTCGTCCAACGTTTCGGATTCGCACATGAGCCCATTATCAGAGACAGTGGCAGAAACGGGTCAGAATCAGAATTTCGGTGTATTACACTCCCACCATCCCACATCCACTAGATTGCGATGTTGAGACAGAGTTAGGACCACCGGAGACGGGTGTGAACCAGTTGATCAAGAGGTCTTCTCAGCCCGTCTACGCATCTCACATGGCCTGGCTCCTAGATCTACATAAAACAGACCTCGATGGCGATCTTGGCTGGTAAACTTCCAACTCATGGCTGTTAGCATGTTACCACTGTTCAAAAATCCGTTTGCTCGTCTCCGGTGCGCCAGGTATCAACCAGCTCGACTTCACTCTCTCTCTCTCTCTCTCTCCTCCCCCTTAGGGGCAATTCAACTGGAGACGAGATTGAGCCCAGCTGATGACGCAACGTGGGTCTCCGTTTAAGACATGTCGCACTTGAGTACGTCGTGTGGAATTAATGGAAACGAGTACGGTCCGATTTGAGCTTGTCATGTGTCAGTGTGACCATGAAAATCCAGTCAAACGCAATAGCAAAGCAGCCTAGTTGAGAATCAGACGACATAATCACTGCAGCCACCGCCACCGCCACGTCGCCGAGTTATGGCAGTCATGTCTACCGGCCTAAGGGATTAACCGACATTCTCTTCTTCCAAACCTGTAGGGTGTACCTCCTCTCCTCTGGACTGGTCATCTCTTGGGATTGCTGTGAACTGGCATGACCAACGCTTCGCGTAGTCTGTAATTATAAAAGATAAATGTTTCCTAAAGCAGGCTAGGGGAGATAGGGACATCAGAGTGCCAGAGAAGCGTTCGAACGCCTACTTTTTGGATGCCGAAATTCTCCTCAGCGCTGAGGCTCTGTTAGCCGCTTTCTGATAGCCCTGAGTCACGTTATCTTGCGTAAGTATGGCAAAACGACTCCTTTCATGTAATAACCAAATAGTCTGCCACGATGGACAAGTTGCATCGCAACGTATGCCAAGCAGAGGCACGCTGCCAACTATGAGGACATCTGGTCAAATGTAAACAGTCGATGCTGGATATTCAATAGGCTTGATGGGACTGACATCAGTATAAGGACACCAGCAATCCCATGCGTTAATTTTCCAGGCGGAGAAGAGCAAAACAGAAAACTTTGATGTTTGTATAAGAAGGTGACATCGGTGGGATTGGCAGCGAAGAGTCACCGGAGTTGTCCTATATCCCCACACATTACGGCCTAACCTCCGCATAATTCAGGTCGTGTGTCAGACTGATTAAACAGAACTTTTAAATCAGTTGCCTTAGTTCGCTCGCCGATTTATAATTTTCTTCGTTTGATTATAAAAAGGTGTCGCAACTTGCAGACTCTCGGCAGGATAATGGCTAAATTTCTTGCCATCTGGAAAAGATTACTCACATTGCAATGTTGAAAACAACAAAAAATAATCTGGATTAAATTTATACACCTCAGAAAATTGCCATTCTATCGATTTTCCCGCTGGTTTAATTGAAAGGACTGTGTGCTTACTTGATGCACACCAATTAGGTTTCCTGGATAAAATGCGAAATATCTCCTTAATTGTCATTTTTAAAAAAAACTTTAAGTACGTTCAGCACACGTGGTGCTCCAGCAGGTGCGGCATAAAGAAAGTCGCTAAAATCCACAAATAAATCTGAATCTGGATCCTATTAATAGAAAAACAAACCACTGAAATAGGACTGCTATTAAGAAAGGAAAAACACTCGACGTAGGCAAATGCAGTTTTGGATTTTTAAAAATGACCCTTGTGGAGAAGAAACCGAAAACAAACCTAGATGAATACAACCTCCAGTCAATCACACGAAAAGACACCATCTGTATGCTGTGGTTGCCGAAGCTGGTATGCTAGGACGGATCGCAAAATCATTTACCAGTGCAGATTGTTTCTCTAGAAAAAGTACTTCTCGTATTCCACGCTTTGAGTCTTAATTACAAGGCAAACTAAAAACAAAACTCTATGACAAAAATAGGTCTCCACAACGAAACATTAGCGCAAACATGACGCTGATGCACACGCTGTTTTCTTTTACAGACGAAAATCGACGTTGTTCACACCTTCGCTGGAGCTGAACCCAGAAAAAAAATAGACAATAGCTTCCTACGTATGCGTCCCGTGGGTGAAAATAATTCTTTTCATGCACGCCAGAGAGAAGCGTCGACTCTGTATTAAGGAACCGTCTCTTCCATGCGTTGTCTTAATTCTGTATTCTTTTTCATCATCATAAACATGCAACAGAACGACCCTATGAATGGTAAAGTCCTTCGTAAACGACTAACATGGGAATAGCCTCGTTTCTGCACCATTGGTAACCTGGAACTAAGCCACTTAAAACAGATCTTGAATCATGCATTGGATACTTCTTTCAAATATTCGAGACATTTTCATGATCTTTTTCTAAACATTAGTTTGTAGATAAAAATAATTAGTGTTCCAAAATCAGAGTTCGGCTAACAGAACTACCATACCCGGCAAAAGCTCCGCATTGCAAAAATATAAAATCGAACCCCTTTATGTTGAAATTTCTGTTGGCTTCATGTAAACGAAGTGGTTTTTACTGCTTTTTTGCCTGATTTTCGTGGAGAAACTGATCTTTTTAATCGCTGATGGTTATTCTTGCGAACTTTTCTCCCGTAGAATACTGTCTGCTGATAAAGACGGATGCTCAATAGTGCAATCTTGGCTGAAAATGAGCATTTCCACTGAGAGTCGTTGAAGACTGAAAATCTGTAGATTTACACCCCAAATATACTGTTTTTCGTTAATAAAATAACTCGGAAGTCTGTCCTGCATGAGAAGATCTCTTGGCATCGCATTGAGTTGTCACATAAAATGCCCGGCTTACAAGTTGTCTTTAAACGTGTTATGGACTTTGGTTACCGCATTTAGCCTCTACTTTAGCCTCGGAATTTTTGGACATTTTACTTGTCTTTTACATGTACTTATTAAGTCATTTGTTTCTTTGCCTATTTGATCTAATGTTACCTCTGTAAGGATTTTTGCACTGCTACAAAGGGTCCTCGAATTTTATAAAATACCTTAACGTAGACCCAACAACTGTTACAGCAGATGTGCTAACCCATGAAATGTCAACCAAGGTTTCGAAATGAGTTCTCGTTTCGAAAAGATAAATTGAGTAGTGTTGTAAAACTAATCATTAATCTATAATGATCCAGTTACCTCAGGGTGTCGGCTTTTGAAAGAACTTATTTGCGACTGCATGCAAGATCAATATTCTGAAAAAACGACTACTTAAGTAGCATGCAATTTTCTCATTGGTTTTCGTGCCCTTGAAAATTCAATTATATTTCATGGAAAACATGCATAAAAATATTCATTCTTTTATTAATTCGGTAGACAATCACGTCTTCTTCCACTTTTATACTCAAAAAAAAGAGTATAATTCGGTTTTAAAAAAAACTTTTCTAATTCCCAAATAGTTTTGAACCCGACCTGCTGTTACACTTGCATTCAGGGTTTCAAAACTACAAGCTGTATATTTTCCGTGTAGGGATAACCATGCATTTCTCTACGGTGTAAAGAGGAGACCATATGAGGTTCATAAAATTAGGCAGTGGATTTGAGCAAAATGCCAACTTTACAAGTCACATTCGTAAATGCAGATACACGACGTTTCATGAACGGCCATTTAACGGTATTAAAAAATCTCACGATTAGAAATTTTTTTAAAACCGAATTATACTCTTTTTTGAGTATAAAAGTGGAAGAAGACGTGATTGTCTACCGAATTAATAAAAGAATGAATATTTTTATGCATGTTTTCCATGAAATATAATTGAATTTTCAAGGGCATCAAAAATCAATGAGAAAATTGCATGCTACTTAAGCAGTCATTTTTGCAGAGCATGCAGCCGAAAATAAGTTCTTTCGAAAGCCGACACCCTGAGGTAACTAGATCATTATAGATTTATGCTGCATCATGATTAGTTTTACAACACTACTTAATTTATCCTTTCGAAATGAGAACGCATTTCGAAATTTTGGTTGACATTTCATGCGTTAGCACATCTACTGTATGCTTTGCGGGGGAGAGTAATCAGCTTGTAACGAGTAGCATATGCCTACAAATATGCAAACATTCTTAACCTGGGAATTTCATTACATAGGGTATTTCGTTTTTTAAACTAAAAAATTCGATTATATTATGTTTGCTTCACAAAAACCATATGTGGCAAACCATTTGTCGACCTACTTATAAAAATGTGTAAAGTATTTCTAAATATCCAAAAGAGACGTAAAACAGATACCACATTAATGGAATTGTTTTTTACTCTGTAAGTTGTCTTGAACACCTAGAGAAATTCGCTCCGAAATTCGACCTTGAAGAACGGACTAACTAACTATTTGTTGTGTTCTGATTTTCTTAGCACAACCGCTAATAATTTCGCACTTTTAATTCTCAACTTGAGGACATAATTGTGAACGTAATCTGCTATTCCGTTACCTATTCTGCATGCCATTAGCACAAACCTCAAAGGTTGACCAAGCGTTAAAGGGATTCGTTATTTGATCTGTAAATTAGGATTTCCTTTTGAACAGTAAGCCCAAACCCGTCTTTGCTGTATTGCTCATTACTAACTTCAAAGGTTTCATTGAACGTTGACATAAGTGCAATTTGGGCCCTTCCATGAAGGCTGTAGTTGTTTTTCGGGATAGATCGCAGTTGGTAGCCAGGACCCGTATTACAAGTGGCTGGGGGTTTGTTTACTAAGACTATTTTTGTGGGGCTCCATAATCACATCTGACCCATTTGGCTTTCGTTGTACGTTTGAGGTTAGGATTAGGGTACCGGCTAGTGATTTCGGATTTTCGGGTTAGGGTTAAGTCTTTAGGCTTAGGTATTTGGGTACCGGTTAGGGTTTGAGCGTATGATTAGGTTTTAGTATTACTGTTAGGTTTTTCATTTACGGCTATGTCTAAGGGCTACGGTTACTTTTACGATTTCGATTAGGTTTAGGGTTTAGAGTTGCCGTTAGGGTTAACGGTTAACGTTTAAGGTTGAGGTTAGGGTTAAGTTTAGGATTAGGGTTAGGGTCGCCACCCGCTTCCCCATTCCTGGCTACCAACTGCGATCTAACCGTTCTTCGGCCTAAGTGGACAATACTGCACACAAATAAAGCAAATTGGGATCCTATGTCGCTGGTGTTAGATGTATCGTATCGAAGTTAGTGAGTCAAAAACAATGATTCGGCTGTCCGCATTTGTTGGTTATGCCTCTACGACGGATTACACGGTAGATGTTCTGAACCAGTACAGGGGTCAGATTAGCGCACGGCAGGCTTTATTAGGGGGTGCGTATCCATAACAAATGCTATGCATGGGTGGAAGGGCGTAGTGGAAACCCTAGAGACAGGCCCACGCTGTGCCAGTCACTTGTGCCGGATTCCCACTCCGATCTTCCTGACTACGTCTTGACGTCGGACCCGACTCGGTGAGGGAGCAGAGAGTGCGGCAGATGCCGCGCAAGTGCGCCACTACTATAAACTAATACGGCTGTAAGTCACCGTCACTGCATCCATCGTGCTGTACGGTACACCGTGGGTACCGTCAGAATCAACGCTCGAACTGTCATCTGTCGATAGCGCTTTCTAACTCGATGCCTGTACTACGATCTCAATGTAAGCGGCAATTTTTTAATCTCAGTCGGCTTATATGCAGGTCAGCGTTACTCGACGGAGTGGTTTTCAACCTCGGGTGTGCAACTCGCAGTTGGAATGTCCCTGGCTCATGACGGTCAGTGAGTCAGAAATGGTTATTTAAATAGCCCGCTATTTCTGTCAACTATGCCTCTCCATCACTGATTGCAAGTGGCTGTGTGGCCGCCTACACAGCCTTTAGATCTTCGATTCCATCACAACACAGAGCCGTCTGTATCCAGTCACGAAATTGGGACAGATCTGTGCATGCCACAGCCTTCCGTTCTGCACGCAATGTGTGTGTGTGCTTCGAGGGAGGGGCTTGCGAAGGCTCCAGAAACGGGCTTTTGTACTTGCAACAGGGCTGTGGGACTTAATTAACATCCGGTTAGAAGGGAAGCGGACAATGAAAAAAATTATTGTTTCAATCGCCGCAATTTCCAGAGAAAAAGTGAATTTCAAGGATTCGCCATATAATTTCCTGTGCTGTGCAAAACGAATTAAACCAGATTATACTTCAGGCTATTCTCTAATATAAACAGCGTTAAATCTGTGAAAATGAACTAACCACTTATGAAGTCAAAGTAAATTGACAAATGTGCTTTTGTGGTCTACTGCAAATCCTTTACCACACCCAAACTGAAGCCTTGTTGGGCATTCGTCGAGCAAAACAGTCAGACAGTAATGAATCATATCCAGCTAAAAGGCATCAACAGTGGTAGTATGCTAGTCAGAAGTGACGTTTTTTGTGGTGAAGGCGGAAATACCGAAAACGCAAAGATTCATCTTAACTGACCGAGTATAATTTGCAAAAATACGTAATCCTGCCTGCGTAAACAACTGGTTGGCCAGAAGAATGTATTGTCTGTGGCGTTTAACGGAATTTTTGGTTAGTCTCTAGCAAAGTCTCCTTCAAACATGCGCGCAAAACCCAACGAGACGGTTAATCGACTGCTTAATGTTTAAGGATTGAAGACAAAGTGCCTCACTTTTCCACTGCTGGATGTGCAGCTGGCCAGAGCAAAACGATTACTCTGTTTGATTTCTCGGGTAGAGAGGTTGCAGCAGTAAACATTTTATAAGGTCACGCGTCGAGAGGTTAGTCACAGAGCAAAGTATCACAGTATAGTCTACCATAGCGGCCATAAGCAATTAGTTTCTGTTTATGAGGGGATTTTTCCTCCACAAAATTACTGTGTTCTTTCTGGTGACGGTTAAGACCTTAGGGATTCAAGTAAATCTTGACCTTTCCGGGAATAATTTATGGATCTGTGATGGTCTCTGTAGGTTGATGTCATTAAAACTTCCAAAGTAAAACAATTTTTAGACGGTTGTTGTCATGCGGACGACGATTTTAATCGTGTTTGCGAATTGACAAGAGCATGTAACCACAACGAAGGTTTACGACGATATGCTTTGGATTAAATATGGAAATGTTTCCACGCAGGACTTCGCCTACAAGGCGTATTGCTGCGACATTTGTGAGTTGAGTTTCCTTACTTTTCGCCTTTTCAGTATTATGGTCAGAAGAAAATCAAATGTTGGATAAAATCCTCCGTGTATACACTAACCTGCCTGACACAAACGATCTTACACCGCAAACGCAAAACATCACTTTCATGTTTGTTCTGCAGCCGTTTTCATCCCGTTTTGTTTGGCGCAGGCCTCATTGAGCAGTCGCAAATACAGTAATGAGTTATTAAAAAAACAGTAAATTGAGTCTTAAATGATGAATGTCCTTTCCGTTTCAAGGTGTTGCAGTCTGCGAACGTAAACATCATAAGAGACACTTAAACTTGCATGTGAAAGCTAAATTGGTTGCGACGTAATTAATGATTTCACGATTAATTATGGAAAATCAGTGTACGCACAAGAGCTGGAGGTTCAGTAAAACAAAAAACACCTGCACTGAGACGTCCGTGCTTAAAAGTTTAGGAAGACATAGATTTGCATGAAACAATCTTTAAGCTCAAAAATACATAAGGATTTTCGAAAATAGTCTGGTTACTCACATTCTGCCTGACGCAGTTTACGTTAATTAAAAAACTCAAGCTTCAGGTTATCAGGAATGTTGTACGAAAGAGGCCTCTTGTAGATTGGCGCACTCTACACAGGAAACACACGCACATACACTAATTCTGTCGACTGCAGTTAGTGACATTTAAAAAACCGTTCTACCGACCGACTTTTTCAAAGTAAGAATATTTTCTCCTGCCATTGGAGCGCCAAAATGCCAGTTTCACTCGAGATTTATTCATTGCCCACTCTAATCCTATTCCAAAAGGGCAGCACTAAAAGCAATGTCTAGATTTCCCTGATTTCCCATTCCTGGTTGAGTCCAGTTATGTTTACTGAAATGAGTATAAGAAATGAAGGGGATAAAGTCTTCTTGGGGGGTAAACGTTTTAATTTACGCAATAGTCTGTTATCTAAAATTTTCTAACTTAGGAGCGCTGACCTTTTTTCATTCGCTTCAGTTTTTCTGAAAACAGTGAAATGTTTTCTCCCATAAATAATGCCGAGACTCTCAACAGCCTACAAACACTGAAAGTGTTTCAAATTCCAATAAAAAGCTAGAAAGCAATGTGAAAACTAAATTCTCTTCCTTGAACTTTTCTTTGAACAGGCGACTGCAGTTCAAAGTAAATAACACAAACGAGGTTGTTTGCATCATTTCTGGAAAAGAACACGAAACCTATGGAAACATTAAACAATAATGGAGGAACAGGCAGTCATTAAATAACGTCGAGCTCGGCGCTCGAAGACCCTCAACTCCGTCCACCTTATGCTGTGGGCTGCTGCGGCTGATTGGACGGTTTTGGAGACAAAAATGGTCGTGTGAGGTTTACTTCTGGCTTTCAAACCTAACACCTTGAGACGTCGCGGCAGCAGGCTATCCACGTCATTTTATCGCCCCCGTCCTAGGGAACATCAGTCGCAGTCCCACCTCTCCTCCTCTGCTAGTAGGACACGGCGGAAAATACCTACAGAACGACAGGTGCCTTTTTGCTAAATTCGGGAGAGGGGCGGGCTAGAGTAGGGCCAGTGCTGGGCTTAAGAGAGTTAATTTTCGAATTAGGGTTAAGAGCTAGGACAAGGGAATAGGGCGAGGTTTTATCCTGTAGCCCCGCCTGAGTGATACTGCTCGCTTAGCTTTCTAAAAAAAATTGGTGGATACGAGCTCGGTGACTATACACGTATTACGTATCTGCATCTTCCTTACCATTTTAATCCAGGGTGCTACTGTGCCACGAGGGGAGGAGAGCTTATACGCCAGCGTCGGCAACTTCAGGTATCAGTTCACACGCGCTTCCCTGCGCGTGCTTCGAGCCCTGCTTGTGCTCTCTTTACCATCTTAATCCAGCGAGTGGCCAAGTAGACCTGCTAATGGAAGAATTCGGACGGCGTGGAACGACGTCGGTTCCACTACAGGGGCCATGCACTGCGAATTACCACGCGGTTCCCTCCGTGGCCTACCAGTTGCGATTGCGCCCCCATATCTTCTTAATCCAGCCAGTCGCTGTGTCGGGGGGAGAATATGTACATTCCACCTTCACTCGCTTCCCTGCGCATGCTTTGCGCTCTACTTGAGCTCTTTTTCCCTTCTTAGTCCAGCGAGTGACTAAGTTAAGTATGTTAACTAAAATTGGTTTATCAAGCTTGCCATATGGGATCAATCAAGTGGGACTGCAGAGCCAAACTTCGCCGTGGAACCCTCCAAATGGCATTACGACATCAGACAAACATTTAGCGGTCTATTCTCAATTTCTTCTTTAAGCAATGCGAGTTTGACCGTGAAAAGCTGTGGCTTCTACCGCTTGTCCCACGGAGTGAGAACGGCACCTGTGCCTTGAGCGTGAATAAATGTACAGTGTCATTAGACTTGCGCAGCACCTACCACACTCCCTCTTCGCCCACGAATCAGGCACTGATAGCAATGCAGTGTCAGGGCGACTGAATGCGAACTCCAACGCAGTGCTTAACAGAGCTAAGATGCCCGGCTACGTGTGCCCACCCAACTTGGATGCATCAAAGAATAGGCTCCCCTTTTATGTGAGTTATGCACGTTCTAACGCGCCTTGTTGCGCCCGTCACGTCGACGACGACGAAGTAGGTCGCGTGCTTGCTGTGATGGACAAACATTTAGATCATTTAGACCTATGCGCTGTATGAGTGCCCAGGGGCACTGTAAACGGAGGACGGATGTGTGACGAGTGTATGTCCGCGCTACAGGTACGGGCCCGCCGATGTATGTCTGAGGGGCTCGTAAGTGACCGATCAGGCCTATGCGTGATGGCAGGTTGGAAATTGAGTTCAAATTGTTGGTAGCAACTGTAGCTGTGTAGGTCGGTAGAGACGCCATTTTTGTGGTGATACAGATGGCGGAAGCTGTGGTGCTCATTTTGGCATTGCACTGGGTCCGCAGGACTTCAAATAGACCGATTTGTGCTGGAAACATCCACTGACAGCTTGAACTTGATGGTAGGATTCGAGTGCTGTCGTCAATGTCCCGCAGCCCTTGAGTTTGGTTAGACTCTTTGCCCTACCACCAGTTATTCCGTAGGCTTCGGAGATGGCAAGTCAAATCTTTACAGCAGTGCGCCGTATCCATCAATATTCAGCGAGGTCCTCCCAGGTCTCCGGATTGATTTACATATGTTTGCGCGAGGTTTCAAGGTGTCCCTGTAGCGGCGCTTTTTTTCGCCCCGTCCGCGGCCACCTGTACCAACGTCGCCGTAGAACAGCCGCTTGGGTAGACGCTCGTCGTCCATCCTCACGATGTGACCACTCCATATCAGTCGTACCTTCTTCAGCAAGACGTGAATACTAAGGATACCTAAACTTTCAATTACCTCATTTTCTAGGACCTTTTCCTACCACTTCACCCTCCGTATTCTTCGAAAGCGACTGACGTAAAAATGATTAGTCCTTCTTGCTTGAACTTCATGAACAGTTCACTTCTTCGCCCCGTACAACATCGGTGTCAGGACACCGACCGTGTATATCCTCAGCGTTCTGTTATGAAGGATGCCGCGACGCTTCTAGACTGAATGTTTTAGCTAACCAAAGGTCTGATTGGCTTTGGAGATCCGATTCGCGATTTCGCTATCGGTCTTCGCACTTCTTTCCATTCGGAGTTCATGCAGCTGGCAAAATTCAGTCGGCGTCCAGGCACCCAAAAAATCCGTTACCTAGAAGTAATACCTTTAACAGTGGACTCAAACGCCTTCAGGCTATATCAGCGGTTGCAGGCGTACTTTCACGCACTACTTGGACTTTCCGCGACGGCCTAACATGGGCTGGCCGAACGAACATCGCAGGAGGTTACATGAATGATGGCCGCTGTTACCCAACCTTCCCCATCGTTACACGCGTACACCTGAATATACGGCATACATTCGCACTATGGCAGTTTATTACAAACAAAAACACTTTTAAATAGGATAAGTCGGCACAACATGGGACAGGAAAAGTTCCCAGGCATCTGTCAAAGACATGGTATTGAGGCCAAACCAAAGACGATACCTTACTTCGTCTATGTGAGCCCACAGAGCTCAACCACATACAGGTCCTCGCTCGTGGAGTTTCCCTTTCAGTCTACTCCAGTATGCCTCAATGGCATTGGTGTGCCGTCCGGTGGTAGGTTTCTTGAAGTTCTTTGAGTGGTTAACAGAGAAATGTAGATAACCTTCTGAGGGAAGACGATTATACGCCTTCCACTCGTCCGTTACCAGTATACTGCCTTTGGCGACCCATTTTGTAATAACGGAACGGAGAAAAGACCAACATCGATCATTCACCGGTTCAAATAAGGCTTTCTGTCGACTAATATCGTACATCCTGACCAGACACCTGTAGCGTCCGACCTCGAAAGGGGTTCGGTGGCCAAGAGTTCACTCGCGTCCTTTTGGGTTGCCTGGGACGGAACGTCGGAAACTGGGGCACTCTGTCCGATTTGTGAACCGTTAGGATCGTCCTTCCATGCGCTCATTATCGAATAACAATCTTCAAGCACACGATAAGCCGCGTAGTACTCTAAGGTTTATTGAGGAAGGGCAAAAAGGGGAACGTAGAACGAGGGCAAAACAAAGGGGAGATCTATTAGTCCAACAAAACGTTAATTTCGCAGTTGTCCAGGGAAGGTGGAGTTGGATGCTGCCACCGGGGAGGGGGAGTCTTCTTCTTCACGTACCTCGACTAAAAAAAACAAGAGAAAGCAGACAGATAGTGTCCAGACACCAGGCACCCTTGCTCTCGAACTTAGAGCCCTTGTTTATTAAAACAACCGTTCATGTGTGCCTGCTACACACCAATCACAAAACCTCCATTACCACCTGTCCCGTAAGACAGGCTGTTTTGGTTAGGCGAATTTTTTGGGTGCCATTTCCCGAGTGTTACCACGGTAATCTACCTAGCGGCCACCTACGCAGTTAAGGTTGGGATCTCATCTTGGAAGTGACGAGGCAGTGATTCGTCAGCAGTCGGTACCACACATCGCTCTAGTCACAAGCACGTCACGCTAATCACGCCTCCTAATTAGGACGTAACCCAGCAGATGACACTGGCGTACAGTAGGTGGGCTAACTCATGAAATGTCTGCCGAAATCCCGAAATGCGTTTTTGTTTCAAGAAGATTAATTAAGTAGGGTTGTAAAACTAACCATTGTACTGCGCAATTCTATAATAATTCAGCGACCTCAGGATGCCGACTTTGAAACAACCTTCCGGCTGCATGCAAAAACTATACTTTGCAAAAAATGGCTATTTGAGTAGCATGAATTTTTCTCATTGATTTTCGATGCTCTTAAAAATGTAATTAGATTTCATGAAAAACATGCATGAAACTATCCAATATTTTACCCATTCGGTATAAAACTACATCTTCTTCCAATTTTAAACTTAAAGGAAGGGTATAATGCGGTTTTCGAAAACGTTTCCGATTCGCTAATAATTTTGAACCCGAGCTGCCGTTACACTTGCATTCACGGTTTCCAAACTACAAACCATATATTTTCTGCTTACGGAAAACCATATTTTTCTTTACGGTATTAAGAGGAGACTATATGGGGATCATAAAATTCAGCAGTTTATTTGAGCTATATTGCCAACTTTACAAGCCACATTGGTAAAGGCTGAGGAATGGCTTTCTATTAACGGCCATTTCACGGTATTAAAAAATCTTATAATTAGAAACTTCTTTAAAACCAACTCATACCCTTCCTTAGAGTATAAAATTGTAAGAAGATGTAGTTTTATACCGAATGAGTAAAGGATTGGATATTTTCATGCCTGTTTTTTATGAAATATAATTGCATTTTTAAGAGCACTGAAAATCCATGAGAAAAATGCCTGCCACACAAATAATCATTTTTTACAGAGTATGGTTTTTGTATGCAGCCGGGAAGCCGTTTGTTCGAAAGCCAGCATCCTGGGGTCGCTAAATTATTATAGAATTACGCTGCAAGATTAGTAGTTTACAACCTTACTTAATTTATCTTCTCGAAACCAAAACGCATTTCGGGATTTCGGCGGATATTTCATGAGTTCGCCCACCTACTGTAAGCAAGAGTGCATCCACATCACCTTCTCCTCCGCCGGAATTCGAAGGTAGTTGGTCAGGGAAAGATTGCGTTCTCGTGTGAATTCATACAAATAACATATGCGGCATGATATATTTGTGCCAAACCTTTTGGTCAAGGCAGATAAACTGTTTGCTGTGGCTTCATAGCACGGGAAACAAGCAGCCAATACCCTGCAGGTTAAACTGGCTTAGAAAACCAGCATGAAGACATTAAGGTTATAGGCTCGAGCAGGCATTTTAACCGGTGAGAAGAGGCTACTTAATGTCGAGATAGAAAAGAGATAAAGACATGGCAAGGAACAAAGGAATATCTAAACCGAAAGAATAAAAACTAACAGGACAGATTTTAGTTACTGGAACAGGTCGAGGTTCTCCTCTCCCCCGTATGAAGGCTGTTTCTAAATAAGACAATATACAAGCCCTTCATGCTCGAACTAGGAGTTTGGAGATGGCCAAGGAAGTGACCACTATCGAGCAAGTGTTTAATGACACCAAAAGCGGGATTTTGTTCTCCGTCTGAAATTATCTAGTCAAGTGCTTAACTGATTTGGTTGTCAGTTACCTTGGCGTCGCTTCCAATGTATTTGCAGCTGCAAGTGTATGTTCGCCTGTTTTTAGTTTGTCGCCCGTTATCCCTGTTGGGTAGCGGCAAGAAATCCTTGATAAACAGTTACGAAATTGTTAGGCATAACCAAATCCTTCCCTTTATGCCGGTTTTAAATTAACCATCTGTCTTCGAAATGATGACTGTGTCAAAGTTGGCCCAATTTCGCCCCAGATACAGCCGGCAGCGCGGGAAGGAGGGACAGCAGCAGGAGGGGAGGGGGGAGGAGTGCGGAGAAAAATAAGAGGGGGAGGGGGGGAGAAAGAAGAGGGGAGGAGGAAGGAAGGAGGGAGGGAGAGGAAGAAAGAGGTGGAGGAGAGAGAGGGGAAGGGGTGGGGGAGGATGAGAAGGAGGGGGGAGGGGAAAGTTGAAACTGTGACGTTTCCCAACCATACCGATTGGCTTCTCTTACAATTTACTGAAAGTGCACACCGTCTGTGATATACGTCAGCAGTGTATAAAACAGAATGCCTAACAAGTCAATAACATATAGGAGAATACATTCATAGGTAAACAAGGACCCAGCGGCTTAAACGGTCATTTAGGGCTTATTTGTCCTCATCAGCAAACGGCCCCCGATTTCGGTTGCTGGTGTACTCGTGCTCTACGTACCTTGTCCAGCGCGTCACTGCGCATTTAAACACAAATGTCCACATCCAGCGGAGATACTGGGCTCGCTCCGCGTCCGATGTGATCGGTGCTGCGCGAGGTCGTGCAACAGTGACGTTCTGCAATCTGGCCCGATTGCGAGACGGGAGTTGGCAGCGTTCGCAGACGACGGTATCAGTGGTTTGGTCATCCAGGTGAATGACGGGGCCAGACAGCACATGCGTGATTAAATGGAAACATCTAACCTGTGTCAGTCTCCTAGGTAGGACACTGACGTGCAAAAAATTAATTAGATGGCTGGTCCTTAGTAGATGACTGCAGTGCGCAGGGTGATTTCTTGGAGATATTTTAGAGGGACTGTCAGTTTTCGCTGTCTTGACTCAAGTGGCCATTTTAAAAACAATGGGATAACCATTTGCTGCAGAATGATGCCAATAGCTGTATGACAATGGTCCAAAGTTAACCAATTTCGTTTTGTGATTTTTCTGAGCAAACGCATGTAATATGCGGTCGAAATTTGAGAGAATAGGCATATTAAATTAGGCTAATGTTCCATGCCTACATACATACTTTAAAATATAGTAAATCAATGACAATTACTACTACCGATCATGCGAAATAGATCTATTCATGCTTGGCACAGATTAGAATAGTTGGGTGATTCCACCAATCATTAAAGCACTTGCTGTGGTGAGGACCTGCACTGTTGGTCTATCGAATTGGCGCTGGATATTTTGCCTAAACATCACTAACAGCTCCAACCATGTACACACCGGCAGGGGTGAGTGTTCGACTTCTTAAAGGTCCAGTTTCTTTATTTTGCCCCCGAGAGGTTTGAATTACCATCCGGGGCTAAAGTGTCCCAATCGTTTAAATATACTACGGCAAGAAAATGTCCCATTTCACATAGCTGTCAGATGCGCCTGCAAAGCTCAGAGGGTGTAAATTCACCGTGGATTCGACAGACGGGACTTTAG